GTGGGTGGGCCCACAGACCATAGGAGTGGTCTGTGGTTGACCACCAAAAAGTGCTCCAAGAATTTCAAGAAAGGCACAACCCACTACCGTCCTGTGGGACCATGGTTTGCGGCCAGGTCTGTGGATCATGGTCCTTAGGTTGTGGTCCCAAACACCAACCGACGAGATGACAGGATGGACCATAGGTCCATCAAGGGTCCGTTGGTCAGGCCCATCGTTGGCCTTGATAACTTTTAGGTTAGGGTCATTTTGGATTTTTCCCCTATGCGTTGGACACCTAAACTACGATGTTTTGATCAGTCTAAGCGTAGTAACTTCATCAGAACATACCCTAAGCGATTCATTCACCAAAATTCATCAAAACTAAAGCAAAAAAAGAAGAAGCAGTCGACCAAAACCCTCCAAAAGCGCATCATGATTTCTTCGGTTCCAACCCCAAAATTGTAGGATTTCTCCATAGATTTTGTAACCAGGTATGTGGGATTTCACTAGTGTGTTCCTTTCACCATTAGGTCCCTAAAATTCAGTCAGATTCTTGATTCCCTTCATATTCTTTAGACCTACGATTTTCTTGAACTTTAGAGAATCGTTGTGATTTAGCTGTTATAGTTCTCTTACTCAGGTTATCGTGTTTTCGTAGCATTACTGCTTAGTTCCTTACAAGAAATTCAGAACCCTAGTGGTGTAGATTCGTTTAGTTCATGAATTACACTAGCTAGGACAGATAAACAGATATACATGCCTCAAATTTCAAATGTTTTAATATCATCAGTAAAATGTTGCATTTTCAGTTAGAATGTTAGAATATTGAGCTATCCAGTATATTTAAGTTATGTTGTATTGTACACATCTCTATTTAGGAGTAGGCTTAACATCGAGTTGGACTAGGTTAAGTCAGTGTAACATTCCGGAAATTAGTAGGCTAACTAGAGCTTTACCTGAGGGTTAGAGTCATGAATGTAACTTCATGTACTTAAAATAAAGGTTTTCGTGTTAGAACGTCAAGTTATGACTCCCCCAAGAACCAACCATGGGTCCTTGAGGAAGACCCCTAGAAAACTGCACAAAAACAGTAACTATGGCAAGACCCACACCCCGTGGGTAGAGGTCTCCTAGATGGGTCAATAATCTTTGACCATGAACCACGCCCAACCAGGACGGTTCGTAGTTCCATACATGGTCCGTAGGTCATGGATCCGTGGTTCAGGCCATGGAGCAATTTTGGTGGTTTAGTGTAGGGGCACTTTGGGGTTTTCCAGTTTTAATTAATATTAAGTTGTGTCGTTTTAGCCTAATTTAGACCACCTATATAAGGATTTTAGACCCCTAAATTAATTCATCCAGCTCATTATTTCTAAAACCCAACACTATTCCCAAAACTTCATCCTCTCAAAAAATTCTCTCTCTAGAACTTCAAGGAAGAATAAGAAGAATTTTGGAGCTAGGGTTCAATGAGCAAGATTTTCTACTCAAATTCATTGGCTTTCACTGCTAAGGTATGATAGCTCTTCATCCATGAATAGAATTCATCCTTGGAGCGCCTTCAAAATCTCAATTTCAAAGATAGAAAATCCCCAAAAGCTAGGGTTTGATTCCAAAGTCATGGGTTCCTTTCAAAAACAATTTTTATGATTCAATTATGTTATATTATGTGTGAATAAATGACATCTTATGGTTTTTATGTTCAATTTCCCCAAAAACCTTTGAAACCCCCATATTACTCAATTATGATCTTGTGATATGGGTTTGTTGATGAAAGAAGACTATTATGAGATTATGCATCTAGTGATTAGGTTACTTGACTTATGATTATATCCATGTCTAATGTAGTTAATTCTAGAAGTGTTTATTGAATATGATCTTTCATCCTTGAAGAGTAAGATATGAGAATTGTGCATGGTTATGAGATTTATGTATATGCTTTAAGGACACTTTGAGAGTGATGTGTTTATGATTATGATGTAGTTGTTGTGTTGGGAAAGGTCATTCTCATATACACACTTATGTATGATAATGATATGATGTGAAAGGTTTTCTCACAATATGATGATTCTAGGGTTGAAAGGCTTTCTCACCTATAGAATCTATATGAAAACATGGACGGTGAAAGGTTATTCTCACGCATGATCTATGAGCTATCTTATAAATTATGTTGGATTAAGTGTCAAGACATTCTTCCCTAAATATGAACTTAAGCCAAGACTTAATATTTACTCCGTGGGAATTAATGCTTAGCACCGAGTGGATATTGTATATGAGATGGAAGCTTTCACGCTAGTTGAGTCCGGCTTCCAAATGTAAGCCTTAACACTAGTAGAGTCCGGTTTCCTAATGGCTTCCTTATACACTAGTTGAGTCTAGGTTCCCAAAGTATGTCTAATGAGATGGAAAACTTCTACCCTATTTGAGTCAGGGTTTCTAGTAGTAATCTCCTTATCCCATAAACTATGTGCCGTCATACGTATTTAGCTAGTGGATCCACCTAAGCTAAAAGTATGGTTCTACCTTAAGCAAGTAGGACAACCCTTTTCGGTGTGGGTAAAACCGGATTCCATGTTAAGCTCACATGATCTATATCGGTTAGGGCTTATTCACACAATGACAATATGAACAACAATATGAATGATGGATTAAGGTGGTTTACTTAGCGTGGGTGAGATTTATGGGGTCTTATTCATGCATTGCACAAGTATGCTCTAAGGTTATTTATGAAGTGTTTCTCTTATGTTAAAATGACCTATGTATTGATTATGTCTATGACTTATGTTTTTATGACTTATGCTCTCTAAACACTCAAATAATGTTTAAACTTAGTAAATTGTATGCTTTCAAACGAAATGTCCCTTTTTGCATGTTTTAAGTGCTTTTATGCATGGCAATTATACTTAGTGCATTTTTGTACTAACGCCTATTTTTCCTACATTTTCCACAAGTGTAGGGTCTGGTTCTCAAGGTGATCATCATTGTGGCGAAAGCTTGTATTTTTTTATTCTCCTATCTTGTTGGTGAGTCCTCATGATTCGAGGACGGATGTTTTCACATTGTAGTTTCTTTTCTTGTATTTCATTTTGGACTATGTTGTATGGGCTGTGTCCCTTTCTCATTTCGATCATTGTAATAAATGGCTATGTTGAGACATAGAGTCTAGAGTTTCGCTTTTGCTTTTATGATATTTTTTTACTTGAAATGCGTTTTTACTCTTATTGTTCTATTGCTTATGTTATGATATGCTAAGTGGCTTGTGTGGAGTCCTTTGGTGTTCTATATGCCATGTTACATCTAGGGGGTACCCCTGGGTCGTGACAAACTTGGTAATCAAAGCACAAGGGTTAGAATGATTTTAGGGTTATGTCTCATAAGCCACGTCTAGTAGAGTCTTGTTCATGAGTGTGAAGCGCGCCACATTTATGAATGAGAAGCTACATGATGTTTAGGAAATTCCACTTCTTTCACTAATCTTAAGTCATGCGATGGAGTTTAACTCTATAAGGTCCTTCTTCTAATCCTTACCCGGTGGTCTACGAGATATGACTACTCAAGGAGCTTTCACTGGTGGATTAGAAAGATACAATGTTGATCAAGGTGCTCCTCATCAAGCTCCTCAAGCTCTTCAAGTTTCGGTAGATCAACTGTATAATGTGAAAATTAGGTTTGGTTTTCAATTGTTGACTCAAGTCGGGATAGAAACCCCAGAATATTATTGGTCAAAGATGGAGGAAGATCCTCAAGAGTTTATAGATGAGGTCTCTAAGGTGTTGGATTTTGTGAGAGCGACTCTGGTAGAGAAGGCGAAATTAGCCGCTTACCAATTAATAGATGTTTCCCAGATGTGGTTTAGCCAATAGAAAGAAGCGAGGCCGGTAAAAGTGGGTGTCATGGAGTGGGAAGGGGTTAAAATTGGGCTCCTTGTTAGGTTTTTCCCTTTGGAGATGAGAGAGGCTAAGATACTTGAGTTTATTAACCTTCGGCAGAGTGAGATGTATGTTGAGGAGTATGCTTGGATGTTTACTAGGTTGTCAAGATATGCTCCATTTATGGTGACCGACCCTAGGTCGAGAATGAGAAAGTTTGTGTCGGGTATGTCCGACTTGATAGCAAAATAATGTCGTATGGCTGTGATTGAGAATGATATGAATATTGATTGTGTTATGATTTATTCTCAAGGGATTGAAAGAGAGAAACTTGAAGAGATGTCTACAGAAACAAAGAAGTACAGGCTGGATGATAATTCCCCTCAAGGAAGGTTGGATAGACATGGTTGCCCAAGAATCCAACAAAGGTTTTTGCAGGCAAAGTTTTTCTAAGTATTCCCCAAGATTTAACAAAGAGAGGGTGTTCACTACAATATTTTAGGCCTAAGGCCACATTAATTCTGGACAACGCTTGTAAAGTGTTGTCTAAAATATATTTGGGTACACTTTTAAAGTGTAGCCTTAATTTTTAGATTTTGGCCACACTAATGTTGACAACACTTGTAAAGCGTGTTCTTTAGTGATATAGGCTACACTTTATAAGTGATGCCACATCATGATATAATTGGCAACACTTATTTACATATATGACTACACTTTTAAAGTGTACTATTTTTATAATACTCAAAACAACACTTTAAACTGTGGCCATATAGCTTTCCTAAAAGTTTCACTAAAATATTGAACTCTCCCTCCAATTTGTTTATTTCTTATCAGATCCCTCTAATTTCTAATTGGACAAAAAATGAACTTCTAAAAGATAATCATTGATAACCCTTTATATCAATTTAATTATTAATTATAATAATAAATAAAATTCAATAATAAAAATAACAAAGTAATATATTAAATTAACAAAGTGAATCAATTTATATTAATAGTAGCAGAAATATATCTGAGTGTGAATGAAGTTGTTACATACGATCCATTAATAAGTAGGTGGGAAAAATTTGGTCCTCATTGTTAATTCTAGATTAGTACTAAATTAAATTAACTAAATTAACATTGGTGGATGGTTCAATAGTTGTTAAGTTAGAAAGCCTTTTTAATTTAATAACTCTAAAATAAAGTTCTTCTCCAAAGAAGAAATTAAACCCTAAACCCTAGTTCCCTCTCCTCATCGTTTCCGCCCAATATTTCTCCATTGTAACCTTATCAAGTTCTTCAATCGGTAAAGTCGTTGTCTCTCTACTTTGATGACATGTGGTGCTTTTCCTAATCCTTCTTTGTCTTCGTCTGAAAACTGGAGAAATAGTTTAATGAATTCTGGCATCGTTTGGATTAACTGGGGAATCTACGGGAGTGTATACGATTTTTGGTGATGGAGATAGATTAAGGAACTCGACTTATATATGCCAGCCTTCTTCTCGTTCATCAGTCTCGCCCAATTGTTGGTATATTCCAAAATCACGATCTATATTAGTATATTTTTATTTTGTACGTTTTGAATGTTAGATGCAATTTTAGTTCGAAATAACCTTCACATTTAAACTGTGTGTTCATTTAAATAGTTCAGATGTTCTAGAGTGGTGTTGTAGATTGAGTTTTGAAATATATGTGCTATATTTTGTTTGTTTTTTAGATTATCTGTGCCTATGTATGAGTAAATATTTTTTACTGTGAGATAACATGGACATCAGCAGTATGCTAAGATTGAAATGTTTAGTTGAAAGCGTGTAAATGTCTTAGAAATTATCTATTTTCAATTAAGAGGGAAGTCTATTTAGTTGCACTAAACTACAAGATATTGTGCTGCTTCAGTTTTGGTTTTACTTTTACTGGAATATTTTCGTATCTATGTTCTGAAGGTAGTACTTGTGCCCCCTTTTTTTTAAAAAGTAAATGATTATTTCTCAAATGTGCTTGTTAACACAATAATGATTTTGAAGAAATATCTGCTTGATAACACTCATGTCCTTACCATTTTCATAATAATCTAATCCACTTAAATGCACATTGAGCTTTGATCAGCATGAAAAAAATATAGTTTAATGACACTACAAAAGAGTTGTTAAATTGCAGGGATTAAAATTAGAAGTTTTAGGGGTTGTAAACCCCGAATTCTATTGTCTCGGTGGTTTAAGAAAACCCTATTCTATGGTCTGTCGCAAATTGATTGTAGGGGTTTTGGGAGAACCGCTGTAACTGCTTTGCGGTGGTCCTTTTGCGGGGGTTTTGACCTCCGCAATCTGTCTAGACAAACCACTGTAAGTGTAGACAGTTCATAAAACTTAAGAAAACACATGATGGTATAGTCGCCTATCAATAAATTCGGTTCAGCTATATGAATCACTCTCTATGTTGCTCATCTCAATCCAATATTACACATAAGAAGTTGGACAGTCAAACTTAGCAGAATCCAAATTTTGGGACTAATTTGTTTGTGGCATCAGAAATGTCACACCCAAATATATTTCTTAACACTTATATTGCTTTTCTTATTGTCTCTTTATCAAAATGTGCTTCCACACATTTTGCCTCACCATTTATCAAGGTTACCATCAGCAATATTGGAGCTCGGGTAAGCATTTTCCATGTGATAATGAGATGAAAACAGATCAACATTAATAGACAGCTAGGAGAAGTTCATAAGCACATAATGATGACTAAATGATGCATTGAGAAGCCATAGTAAATTGCAGAAATGAATAGGTCCTTCATATTATAAAGCCAGTATAAAAAGGTTCAATTGAAAAAATAGAAGTCTAAAGAGCACTCAAGTCTAAAAAATTGGGTATGTGTTTCTTAAAGAGGACAAGTCAGTGAAGGCTATCGTATGTGATAAGTTGGCCAAAGTTCTCACTTCTCCTTTCAGTGAAGACAAGAAAAATATACTTCCATAAATCTATTTTTATCATCATTCTATGAACTTTTGTAACAGTCTTTATTAGTATTAGAAGCAGACAATTTTGTCCGAGCTTGCAGGAGCAAGATGGTTGATGTTTAAGTTAGTAACTTCATACATGCAGTAATGACATGTAGTGAAATAGAATTAGTTTGTAGTAAACACACTCCATATTACCTATAGCAAGCTGATTACTTCTGTAGACATCTCAAGAATGTGACTTTTCTAATACATTCAAGTATAACTGCATAATTTATCAGTATAAACACTTTCCAAGTTCCTTTCCAGAGAGATGGTCTTGTAGTTCTGTTTTCTTCTGAAGCATGGGAATTCAAGTTTGTCCATATTATGTTCTCCCCTTGCCTCCATAGATAATTGTTGAGGTGTAGAGAAACATTCTGTGCATGTGCATTCCACTACATTGTTTGCTAATCTACCAACGACATGATTACCTTCTCTACAAGTATGTTGAATGGTAGTAACTTCAAAATTTTGTATCCCCCTCTTAATATGTTGGATATCATTTTAAATGGTCCAGGGAGGTTTAGAAGTATCAGTAATCCATTGGACAATTAGCAAAGAATCAGTCCCGACTTCAACCTTTCTGATGTTATTAGAGTAAAACCATTCTAGTCCCTTTAGCATAGCTTTGTACGGACTATAAGAGTGAAATTTTACAAATTCTTCCGATTCAACTCATGCTTTTGTTCTTGAGAAGGTATTTTATATTTTACATTCACACGAAACTTAAATCTTGAACTTTTGAATGTAAAAGAGGGTGCAAGAATGTTGTTCGCCCTTATTTTGGCACCTATTAAATATAACATCAGATACTCTGAGTTGAACACATATAATTTCCTCTTTTAAATCTAGGTATGTTTATATATGTTATATTCGGTGCTGACACCTTTCCACATTTCTAACATTGTTAAAATTCTTGTGTTGGAGTAGTACTTCTTCATTTGTTGTCATCGAGTTAAAATCTTTTTGAGATTGAACCTGATATTATGAGCTTGTACGTTGCCTGGATTAAGCAATATTTTACCTTGCTTAGGTAATTCACAAAAGGATCTGAATTTGAATATGCATAATTTCTCTATAATCAGATTTTCCAGATAATCTGCAAATGTATTTTTGTTTTTTTATATATGTGTTGCACCTAGTTTGTGTAATGGAAAAGAAGGCGAAATGTGGCTCCGAGGTTTTGTTCTATGTTTTGGTTGCAATTGCAGAGCATGCACCATTACAGTCTACTAGTTATTAGCTTTCCAGCAGACAGATATTAGGGACCCCCACACTGATTCTTTTTCCCTTTGTTTGATGAAATTTAAGTATTTTCAGTTCTTGAATGATTGCAGCGCTTTGGGGAATTTGAGGTATTCATCTTTTATACTTATTTTGCAATGTGTATTTTCTTATTTGTGATTAAGAGTATATTATCTTTACTTGTAGGTTGTGTACTTTGGGGACAAAGCTATTATTGAGGATCCAATTGAGTGGTACATCCATTGCTACTTCATATTTTATGATCTGTTATGCATCATTTCCATGAAAAATTGTGTCTGTCATAAGCTATACTATATACTATATACTATGTGTCATGTTAATTTATTAGTGTACTATGTCATAGTGGCAGCTGGCCGTTATGCGACTGCTTGATTGCCTTCTACTCCAGTGGATATCTTTTGAAGAAGGAAGAAGCATATGATTCATTAAGAAAGTAACTTTCATTCATTCTTTGCACCATGTTGTTTTAATGTCTAGGCATGCTCGCTCTGACTTTTGTGGCATTTTGTTGTCTATGAATATCTATTTTGACAAGCATAGATTTTCATTAGCATGCTTGCAATATAGGTGTTTTGGATTTTTCTCTGATTATCAGAATTCCAGCCTCTGTATATAGCCATATAAAATCACAAGACTTGTCTGTATGAACATGTATAAACTACAAGCTTAAGGTTTTTATGTCATAAATTCATTGTCAATCTCCTTCTCTTTTTAATCTATTGGGGTCTAAAATTTGATAGCATATATACTATGCTTCAAACTTCAGTGTAAAATATGTTGTTTGTGATTGATTCCTCTGGCAATCTATAAATGATTTACTGGCAGATCTGAGCATTCATTAGGAGCTCCAAGGATAGCACATAATTCAGGACAGACTTCATAAAAAAAATTAAAAATGAAAATAAAAGGCGTGAGCCTTTTCCTTTTATTTGTGTTGCTCTTTTTTGTTCCTCATTATGTCCGTCTTCCTTAACCACCGAGATGATGCGCCATTCTGTCCTCGGTTTTTGGGAATTATTGTTGATCTGTTTGGCTATATTTCCTCCTCAGGTAAAATTTTGGTATTTGTAATATTGAAAGAACTGGCTGGTCATATTTCTTTTGTCTAGAGAAGGTCGAAAGACCAAGAAGATCTGATACTGTTAGAGTTGTCAAGCTCCAAGGATAAATATCTGTTGCAATGATGGAGTTTGGCATCTTAACAGAAACTTATTTTTGGACAAAATTCTTTTGTTCTTCCCTGTAAATGTCATAACGAAATATCTAACATAATTACATAAATTTTGCCATCACAATGCACAACTTATGATGCTATATTATCTCCTCTTTCTCAGGCCTTTCCTTGTGAATGAATTGGAACCACAATACCTTCTTCATGATCGGAGGAAAGTATACGAGGTATGCATCAGTTTTTGGTTATTTTTTCCATTCAGGTGTAGCCGAAAAAACTTATAATTTTATTTATTTTTTTATAAGGAAGATTCTTGCAGCTCTTTAAAAAATCTCCTTTGGTTATTCAGCCTTTACTCTGATTTATTTGTTTTAATTGTTGGGTTCTTTCAGTGTAATTTGTAATGGCTGAGGTTTGATGCCGTAGTTTCCATTTGTGGCAGTCGTTCTGTTTTCTTAATGCTGAGAGTTATACTTCCAACATAACAGAATATTTATTATTAGGTGGTAAGATCTTCCAATAATTAGAGTTGGAAGTGTTATAGACTTGAATGTGTAGGGGATTAGGCACAACGATTGTGTTTAGTTTGTTTCTAGTTTTATGCTTGGTCATCAAATGAAACTTCCTCATGATGTGTACAAAACTACAAATTACAAAGATTCTAAAGAAGTGCATTGTCTTCTATAAGAGTCAATGAGTATGTTGATTCTTTTTTAGAAATTGTTATACCATCATATATTCTCTTACATTTTTCATCAAAAGAGAGTCATTCTCAATTATGCATTTAGTAAAATCTTCTAAAACACAGAAGTCTATAGCTTTTCTAATTGCAGTTGTCTCTACCTCAATGTTTGTTGTGTCTGGGATAACCTCAGGGCTGAACTTGAGAAAATATTTCCTCCATTATGTCTTCAACACATTTCATATTAACTCTTACCAGGGTTTCCTTAATTAGTGCCATCAATATTACTTTAATGATGATTCTCGCAGCTACTATAATGAGATATTTTGCATTCTGTTAGGACACTTGGTTTTAACCAACTGAAATATGTTGGTATTTACTTGATGTACTACTTTATCATAATTGATTCTTCCATCATGATTCATGTTGTTCCTCCTCTTCCAAAGCTCTCATAGGATAATTAACCATGGCTAGTGTGTTAATTTCATTTTGAATCTGTAGGGAAATGAAGGCGATCAAGTTTGAATGGTGGACACTAATCAACTCAATTTATCGAAGGGAACGATAAATAGTTTTCAACTACTATAATATATATGATTGAATACATTTGATATATTGATATTTATTGCTAATAGAAATCTTTCAAATATTGCTTTCTATTGCAAATATATACATTTGAATTATTTGTTATCTAATTTGGTGCTTTGGATCATTTATATATATAATTATGCGATTAAATAATATATTCAAATTAAATTATTATTTTTCAATTAGAAATGGTGGCTATAATAAATCTAGACAATATTGTCACACTTTGGAAGTGTGGCTATAGGGACGTCAATTACAAGTGTTGTTGTAGAGGAGGTATAAAAGGGTACGCTTTTAAAGCGTGACCTATAACTAAGCAAAGGTCACGCTTAGAACTGTAGTTTCATCAAATAAAAGTGTTGCTAATGAGATGCTACAAAGTGTGGCCTTTGTACCTTATCATCCACATTTTTTAAGTGTAGCTGTTATGACAACACTTGAAAAGTGTAGCCTGAATTCATAGGTTACGCCTCTTTAGGCCACCCCCTCGAAAGCGTTGCCTAAAGTCCAAAAGTGTAGCCTTTGATCAAATGGCACATTTTTTGATAGTTTAGGCCACACTTTACAGGGGTGGCTGAAGGCCTAAAATGTTGTAGTGGTTTAACCCTATGTCTCAAGGGAAGGGTAGTAGATCCCTATATCTTGTGCTAGGTGTGGAAGGACGCACGATGGTAAGTGTCTAGCCGGCATAGATGGTTGCTATAGTTGTGGTGGATATGGTCACAAAATGAGAAATTGCCCAATACTTACGGCTAGAGGGAGAGTGGGCAAGCAAGGTCCTCCAAGTGGTTCGGGTACTAGTGCTCCAAAGCAAGACAGGTTCTATGCACTCCAGGCTAAAGGTGAAAAAAAGCATTGTCCAGGTATGGCTTCTGATATGTTGATAGTTTTCCTATTAGATGTTTAGGTTTTATTAGATCCTGGTGCTACTTTGTCCTTTGTGATGCCGTGTGTGGCAATAAGATTTGATATGCTCCCTAGTGTCTTGTTAGACTTCGATGTTGTTCTTGGTATAAATTGGATGCACTCTGGTTATAATGGTTGTAGAACCCGTGTAGCAAATTGTTAATTTTCGAATGAGCCTATCCTAGAGTTGAAGAAGGGAAGTTCTATGCCTAGAGGTTAGTTGTTCCTTATATGAAAGTAAAAAGGATGATGACTAAAGGTTGCTTTTACCACCTAGTTAGGGTGAGGGAAGTAGATTGTATTTAACAAACTTCAAAGGGGTTAGTTATTTCTCTAAGATTGATTTTAGGTTGAATTATCACAAATTAAGGGTGAAAGGTGAAGATATTCCGAGGACGACTTTAAAACTCGGTATGGTCATTAGTAGTTTTTGGTTATGACAGTTGGGTTGACTAGTGCTCCAACGGCAGTTATGGACTTGGTGGATAGAGTAATCTGATAATTTCTTAACATGTTTGTGATAGTGTTTATCGATGATATTTTGATCTATTCAAGGAGTGAGAATGAGCATGTTGACCATTTGAGAAGTGTGTCGAAAGTTCTTATGGAATACCAACTTTTCGCAAAGTTTAGTAAGTGTGAATTTTGGTTAAGATTTGTGGCTTTTCTTGGTCACATTGTATCAAGTAGGAGTATTGAGGTGGATCCTAAGAAGATAGATGCGGTCAAGAGTTGGTCAAGACCTCTAACTCCTTTAGACATTAAATGTTTGTTTGGTTTGGCCGGTTATGATAGAAGGTCTGTTGAGGGTTTTTCTTCCATTGCCTCTCTAATGATGACTTTGACCCAAAAGAAGGCTAAGTTCATTTGGTCGGAAGCTTGTAAGAAAAGTCTCAAAGAGTTGGAAGATAGACCTACTTCCACTCTAGTGTTGATGTTACCGGAAGGTACATATGATTTTGTGGTGTATTGTGATGCCTTTAGAGTTGGGTTGAGATGTGTACTTATAAAAATAGTTCGGTGATTGCCTATGTTTCAAGGCAACTTAAATTACATGAGAAGAAGTATCCTACTCATGACCTTGAGTTAGCAGCAATTATGTTTGCCCTAAAGATATGTAGGCATTTTCTATATGGGGTTCATGTTGATGTGTTTACCGATCACAAAATATTATAATATGTGTAGTCAAAAGGATTTGAACCTTCGCCAAAAAAGGTGGCAGGAATTATTGAAGGACTATGATATGCGTGTTCTTTGTCACGCCGGCAAGGCCAATATGATAGTGGATGCTCTTAATATGATGTCTATGGGGAGTGTTGCTCAATAGATGATGATAATAAACAGTTGGTTCGACATGTTCATAGGTGGGCCCAAGAGGGTGTTCAATTAGTGGACTCCACCAAGGGAGGTGTTATGGCTACAATGGGACCTAATTGTCTTTGGTGACATGTGAAAGCTAAGCAAGGGCTTGATCAAATTTTAGTTTACTCGAAAGGAAGCGGTGCTTAAGGAATTAGTTGAGGCTTTCTCCCAAGATGGAGATGGTGTGCTTAGATAGAAAAATTATTGAGTGTTCCTAGTGTTTATGATTTTGGATCTTCTTTGAAATTCCACCTATGAAGGGTGTGATGAGATTGGGCAAGAAGGGAAAACTTAGTCCCCAATATGTAAGGCCCATACTAAATCTTGAGGCATATTGATAAAGTTGTCTATGAGTTAGATTTTCCAAGAGAGTTAGTTTCGGTTCATCCGGTGTTTTATGTTTCCATGCTTAAGTAGTGTGTCGGGAATCTGGTATCCATTATCCCCATAGAAGGGTTAGGGATTGATGAAAGTCTTTCAGGTGAGGAAATTCCGGTAAAGATTCTAGACCAGTAAAGTTAAGAAATTGAGAAACAAGGAAATTGCTTCCAAGAGGGTGCTACTAGGGAGACCGAGGCCGATATAAAGTTATGTTATTTTCATCTTTTTCCTTATACTACTACCCTAGATTGAGGTAAGTATTTCCTCTTGAGTTTTCCTTATTTTGGGGAGTCATATGTGTTATTTGATTTTTCCATGATTTTCCTATGTTATACATGTTCTTGAGAAATTTCTGTTTTAGTAAGAAAATGAGTTTTTTATGATTGTTTTTCCTCATGTTGTTGTGCATTGAGTAAGAGTTGCCTATATGCTTCATGAGTTGAGTTGTTGAACATACTTTAGTTGTTTTTTAAAATATGTTGCATAAGAGCTCCATGGGATTGTGTTGAGCATGCTTTTAGTTGGAGAAGGTAGTTCCTCCTATGAATATGAGAAATATTGAGTTTTCATGCATAATGCTTTTAGTTTGGGGTTTTACGGTTTTAATTAATATTAAGTGGTGTCGTTTTAGCCTAATTTAGACCACCTATATAAGATATTTAGACCCCTAAATTAAATCATCCAACTCATTATTTCTAAAGCCCAACACTATTCCCAAAACTTCATCCTCTCCAAAAATTCTCTCTAGAACTTCAAGGAAGAAGAAGAAGGATGTTGGAGCTAGGGTTCAAGAAGCAAGATTTTCTACTCAAATTCATTGGGTTTCACTGCTAAGGTATGATAGCTCTTCATCCATGAATAGAATTCATCCTTGGAGCGCCTTCAAAATCGCAATTTCAAAGATAGAAAATCCCCAAAAGCTAGGGTTTGATTCCAAAGTCATGGGTTCCTTTCAAAAATGAGTTTTATGATTCAATTATGTTATATTATGTGTGAATAAATGACATATTATGGTTTTTATGTTCAATTTCCCCAAAAACCCTTGAAACCCCCATATTACTCAATTATGATCTTGTGATGTGGGTTTGTTGATGAAAGAAGACTATTATGAGATTATGCATCTACTGATTAGGTTACTTGAATTATGATTATATCCATGTCTAATGTAGTTAATTCTAGAAGTGTTTATTGAATATGATCTTTGATCCTTGAAGGGTAAGATATGAGAATTATGCATGATTATGAGATTTATGTATATGCTTTAAGAACACTTTGAGAGTGAATTGTTTATGATTATGATGTAGTTGTTGTGTTGGGAAAGGTTATTCTTATATATACACTTATGTATGATTATGATATGATGTGAAAGGTTTTCGCACAATATGATGATTCTAGGGTTGAAAGGCTTTCTCACCTACAGAATCTATATGAAGACATGGACGGTGAAAGGTTATTCTCACACATGATCTATGAGCTATCTTAAGAACTATGTTGGATTGAGTGTCAAGACATTCTTCCCTAAGTATGAACTTCAGTCGAGACTTAATATGTACTCCGTGGGAATTAATGCTTAGTACCTAATGGATATTGTATATGATATGGAAGCTTTTACAGCAGTTGAGTCCAGCTTCCAAATGAAAGCTTTTACAGTAGTTGAGTCCGGCTTTTCAAATCGGTTCCTTATATGCTAGTTGAGTCTGGGTTTCCAAAGTATGTCTCATGAGAAGGAAACCTTCTACCCTAGTTGAGTCCGGGTTTCTAGTAGCAATATCCTTATCCCATAAACTATATGCCCTCATAGGTATTTAGCTAGTTGATCCACCTATGCTAAAAGTATGGTTCTACTATAGGAAAGTAGGACAACCTTTTTCGGTATGGGTAACACCAGATTCCATGTTAAGCTCACATGGTCTATGTCGATTAAGGCTTGATACTACAATAACAATATGAACAAGAATATGAATGATGGCCTAAGGTGCTTTACTTAGCATGGGTGAGATTTATGGGGTCTTATTCATGCATTGCACAAGTATGCTCTAAGGTTATTTATGAAGTGTTTCTCTTATGTTAAGATAACCTATGTATTGATTATGTCTATGACTTATCTTTTTATGACTTGTGCTCTCTAAACTCTCAAAACATGTTTAAACTTACTAAATTACACACTTTCAAATTAATTTTCCCTTTTTGCATGTTTTAAGTGTTTTTATGCATGGCAATCATACTTAGTGCATTTTTGTACTAACACCTACTTTTCCTAGATTTTCCCCAAGTGTAGGGTCCGATTCTCAAGGTGATCATAATTGTGGCTAAATCTTGGATTTGCTTATTCTCGTAGCTTGTTGGTGAGTCCTCATGATTCGAGGACGCGTGATTTCACATTGTAGTTTCTTTTCTTGTATTTCGTTTTGGATTATGTTGTATGGGTTGTGTCCCTTTTTCATTTAGAACATTGTAATTGATGGCTATGTTGAG